AAACTGTCTCCGTAAAGCCTAGTTCACCATACACGATTTTTAGCACGATTTGCCACTCGGCGAGCTCGGCAACTGTCAGGCTGTGCTCAGGAGTAAATCAGTCGATTGGCTGTCGCCAGTCTTTATGTGTGAAGTACTCAACGACGCATCAAAACGGCTCCCCGACACATTTCCGACACATTGCCGACGTCTGCCAGATATCTAGTATCCATTCTTTCACCCATATTCTTTGTCTTTATAATTGTTATGTTTATAATAACAAACAGTTGTTTTGTGTGTAGGTTCGCGTCATTTAAGGTGTGCTTTCTTGACAAAATGTGTGCGTCGGGTGACACAGCCACTGTCAGCTCATGTAGTGTCACCCCCTTTCACCGATCAATCACATAGTGTGAACGCCACAACGACTGCAAGACTCCCGTCACAAGACTACAAGTTGTGAACAGCACGGCCATCGGCCAACGCTGAAAGTCGTGTAGTCTGCACAAGCTTTAAATGTTAGTTTTGAAGGCAACATCATATTATCCATAAATCTGGGTGCCTGCGGTAGCTCACGAAAAATTTTCAACATGGCAGTAAAAGAAGCCATATTCGTCTAAAAATATACAGTAACTTTTTAAAAAGTTTTTAGTAGTTATTCTCTTCGATTTTTGAAAAATAAGTCAGAACTAAACTAGGGTTGACCCCGAATAGTCGAAGATTCGATGCTTCCATGAGCGGAGCCTGATTTGACTGTCTCAGTCAAACAGCGAAACGATGTCATTTTGGCGACTTGGGGTGTGCTCAATGTCTGATTTTACATAGAAATACCAGTTGTCTCCCAATAAGATAATATACTGCCTATTACAATATAAATGTCAACATATAATGCTGTAAAGAAAAAAAAATGAGAAAAGAAAAAAAGCTTTTAATAAATGTTTTTAAAGTGCGTGAATAAATCCAGATTTGTAACCCTAACCCTCAAGGTAGGGGGCATCAGTGCGCATGTGTTGGCGTAGCGTGTATGTGTGTGTGAGTGTGAGTGTGAGAGTGTGTAGTTGCAGAAAAGGAACTTGCTTTAGAGAGGGACCCTTAACTTCACAGTATAAGTTACAATGACTAATGAATAGAGACTACAGCACTGCAGCTTGTCAAGATTAAAGCGGCGCTACCGCGTGTTACTGCTGTCGCAGCTAATATCAGCACACCCCAGTTTGTCTTTTTTCTAATATCTGGAATATGATAATCCTGGCATTTACATGTGCCAGTTCACAGATGGAATATTCTAGATAAAATCTATAAATAAATTATGTAAATTGATCCAGTGGTGTTGTTAAAAAGGTGTGTTGGCAATGATGAAGTTTAAGGTCTTGCTGGTGGCATTCTTTTCTTTGTCTTTTTTGTTGTAGTGGCTGCTCACGCTAACTACCTACTTCTTTGCAGTTTCTACTTTCTACTGTATTTTATATGCATCTATTTGTTCTTTTCAAACTTTAAGTGAACACACAAGCGCTTTATTTTATGGGTCCACAATGTCCTAATTTGGTACTAATTATGGGGAATATCGAAACAAAGTTTGGGGACTAGTTGTGTTGGCTGTATATGTAGTTGTTAATTTGAATTGTAAATGTTTTGCATTGATCACACAAGTCTCAAAAACAGACAATAAATAAAGTGACTAGAAAGCAGATCATGACATGTTTGACTTTATAGCTCTACGAAAACTTTTTCATTCCCATGCCTCACATTATGGCATGTTTTTGTCTTATATTTTAGAATCCTGTTTGCTTTGATGCAGCTATAACACAGTACATTATTATTGTGCAAGTGATTGGTACAGATCTAGATATTAGACAAAACCAAAGGACTGTATCATTCCCATAGTAGGCCCTGAACAGCATGAGTATAGTTGTTTAGTTTGCAAAATCGTCTTATTTATTTGTGAAAACGGCAAGATGAGTAGAATGAGGTGTTCATTTATAAAACATGAAGAACCAGGTAATAAGGTTCACATTTAATATCTTACTGAGACACTAAGGGCTCTTTAACAAAGCAGCACTGGGGCAAAAATGCATTTATAACACAAATTATACCATTTAATTGAAGTGTTGTTAGCCTGGTATAAACTTACACAGTCTAAAGGGGAAATCAACCCTGAAACACAAGGGACATTTATCCTTTCTACAGCCCAGGCTACAAATAAACAAGTCTCTTCCAGTACTTTTGAGACACAAATCCTAGAAATTGGAAGACTAAAGTTAATGACTGTACTCTGCCTTTCCCTCTGATATCTGTTAATCCTTTAACAAAATAAAACCCATGTGACTGTCAATGCTCTAACAAGCATCACAGGAGTTAAAGGTTATTACAAAGTCACTCACTGATTTATTGTATGTGAAGCTGCTCCAGGTTTTGCCCGATTAAACAGATTACAGCACTGATTCAGTAGCTGGCTTTGGAGGAGAGTGTTGTATTTTATTCACGCTGATCCTTTGTGTCAGTTGTTCTTTATGTAAATGGCGTACATGTGTACGTGCGGGCGTACTGTGTCAAGAAATGTGTACATGCTGAAAGCTGGATCAGAGAAATGTCTTTTTTCATTGGTGCACATTATCTGGGTGTCATGACACTCATGAGCAATAACTCTGGAGCATGTCTTCCACAAAGTTTAAAGTCAGTCTAGATTTTCTGATAACACTTAGCCTCGGGCTATGCTCAATTTTTTAAGTCTGCCAGGAGGCAATGACTGTAGGTGGGCTGAGGTCAGTAAGAGAGAGTTCATGGGTTCTTGTACTGCACATGTATTAAATGTATTGTCTTGGTTTAAACAAACAGAATAAAGAAGCCATGTACTGTATACACACACAAGCCTTGTAACACATACATACTGGTTTGCCCTGAGTGCTGCAGCTGTCAGGTAGAAAAGACATGGTACACCAGTGAAAAGACTCTTACCTCTATAAAAGAGGCTTACCTCTATGGGGGTAAATCGATGTCAATGTCATTGTAAATGCACAGACTGAATCATAAATATGTTACAGTTTGTAAACACAAAACGTGATCTACAAATAGATTAAAAATCCACAAACTCTTCATGTTAAACAAAATAAATCAGTGACTTGTACTTGAAAACCAGGATTTTAATTAATGCAAAATGATTTGTCTGTGCATGAGAGTCACATTTTATTTGTTGATTGTTTTGCATTTGTTTTCAGTATTTTGGCTACTACTGTTTCATTGTCTTACAAATTACAATTCCTCCAAATGCATTCTTCAAATAAAATGTGCGGACAAATCATTTTGCATTCATTTAGATTCTGAGTCACTGATTTCTATTTGTGGATCGTGAAGAGTTTGCTTGTGGATTTTAAATCTATTTGTAGATCATGTTAACAAATTGTAATATACATTTGTGACACATAGTTTGTGCATTTAAAATTATATTGGCATTGATTTTACCCAATACTTCTCTTCAAAAATTCATTCTTCATTCATTTATTGTCTATTTGTCAGGGACAATGCAGAAGAAACACATTGTAACAGGTTACAATAACTTGGGACAGATGTGACACATATAGGGTTTCTTGCTAATTTGCGACCCCTGTCCCTGGCTAAGTAGGTGTAAATCCTCAGCAGCCTGTTAGAAGTTCCTGCCTTTCTCAGCTGGCCGAAATGGACCAAAGACTTTTTCAAGCCACTTTGTTGAGTGTTGTGCTTTATGAAGTGTTCTGTCTGCAGTTTCTATCTCTCTGTCAGGGTAAGTTTCAGCTGGACAGGAGGAGAGATGATTAAGATGTGGAAACATTTCTTTCTGTTTCCCAAAAAGCACATTTGTTTTACAGATACTCAGAAATCCATATTCTTATTTGAATTTAACTTACAGACTCTTATGTGTGTTTGGAAAAAAAAATCAATCATTTTGTGTACATTTGTGTAAATGAATAGTTTTCGAAAAGGAGTTTTCCAAGTTTCACTGCCCAGCAAAATTCCTGTCCTCATAGCTGTGGGCTACAACTTGAGCCCCTTTTTTAGTCTATATTTGTTTACACTTTGACACATTAGCACCATTTAAAGTGTTTATTCTAATTCTCCTGAACTTCGGGGCCGTGGGTAAAAAGTGGCTACAATATCTTCTTGAATAATCTTCCTTAATTCAATACCAAGATGGCATGACATGTCGTAGCACATTACTCTCTCGCCTGTCTGCCTGTAACACACTTCCCTGTCCCCTGGAAACAACAGCAGGTAGGAACCTAAATTAGTCTGCTCTGAGCCAAAGGGGGATGATATAGCAACTTGAATGTTACACATATAAATAACAGTTAAGTGCTACAAAAGATAATGAAATACTTACTGTTGGTAATAATAAAGTTAATTCTGCAAGTCCAGTTAATATTGTGGAATTACTCCTACTGAAACATAAATCTGACCACAGTATAATGTACCATTTTATAAGCAACATAAATTAGTATAATAAAGTTAAGTAACCCAAAAATATAATGTGTACAGTAACTGAGATTACAAAAGTATGCATTTTTTAATAGTTATTAGCAGTTGCTATTTATACTGTACCCATTATTGTACAGACAACCATCGCTGGATTACTATGATACTGAAGAAAACTTAAAAACATGATGGTCTCAGACAAGTTCTGAAGTTATAAGGAACATCTTTTTTGATTGAATGAATCTTAAGCGGATTTATGGACGTTTATATATATGATTATTACATAATCATATGCATAAACACAAGACAAGTTTATACGTAATATAATAAATGAATAAGATTGTGGTCATTTGCCCAGGATGCATTTCTAACATGAAGAATCTGGGGGTGGGGGTGGTTGGTTTCGATCCTAGTACCAGTACTCAAAACAAGACTTTGGATCTGTAATGTCTATAATAATATTATTTTCTGCTAATACAGAACATATCTGGCGGATACAGCCTGTAAAAATCCCTGCGGTTGCACTGGCATTCTTAATTCTTCTACAGCTGAGTTAATGTTGACCTCCTGTCTTGCAGGGGCGTGGTGCGTGTTGACATTAATCTACAGGATGTTGATATTGACCAGTGCTCCACAGACGACTGGTTCGCTGGGACCCATCGATGCAACCTGACCACTATGGAGGTGAGTGTGCCGAACATGCGGATTGATTTGCACTGTAACGTACACACATTCAGTCACATCTCCAAGAGGCACTAAATGGAAAAGCACTAAACCTGTGCTTCTCGTGATGAATGGATGGTGATCTGATTCTTCTTTAATGATACTGGTACAACCCACTGCCACTTATATAAACACTAAAGGCTGTCTTTTAACAGCGCTACATTTGTCATTCATTTAGAGTTTGCTTGTCATCCACTGTCTCTTTTAGCTCTGTTTTTGGTCTTTACCATCTCCTGAAAGAAATATCTGGCTCTGTAGCTGCTAAATGTTCTGCTATGATCACCAGATATTCGCTCACTTTGTTTATCTGCTGTTTGGTGCTGGGCAGGTGCTTCTTAGTTGTTAACAGATGCCTGCTGCTACTGACGCTGTGAGAGTTTATCACGACAGTAATGTTGCGGTCCGTGATCCACACATTTAGCTAATAGATGCTAAAACGCTTTCTCTGTGCGTTTCTCACTAAGGGCAATCCCTTTCATATACATGTAGTCATGTATTCCCAACACTATATATTTTTCATAAACAAGTGAGAAAAGCCAAGACGCCAGCAGTTAGCCCAGCAACCAATAAGGACATGATATATGCCAATTGTTTGATCACAAGTCATTACCTTCTGCCCACTTTAGTAGCAACCTTTCATTCACTGAGTACTGCTGTCTAGCTAGCAGCTGGCCTTCTGGTCGATGCGGCCCGATGCTTCTTCCATGCTGGTTCAGTCTTATCGTTAAGAGTGATAGATTTTGAAGAGGTGCTGTACATCAGACTGCTTCATAATGCATGCGATGTAATGGTTTGCAGTGAGCCTCTTTGAATAATTAATCACCCTCTTTGTTTGAGTACTTCCACCTCTCCGTGGACAGTCAATGCTTGAGATATTTGACGTAGTGTGTGTGTGTGTGTGCAAAGGGAGACTACAAGTAGAGAAATACATTGTTACGGGTATAGATTTTAGCTGGGTTTGCAAAATAATGATCCCTGTGTGCTTACAATGCAGGAGTTTGTAAGAAGTACACTTGCTTACAGCTGAATGATGAACGCTGTTGTGGTCATGGCATTTTGCAGGATGTCTCTTGTCTTGCATGACAGCTTGATCATCACACGGGAGTGTTCATTATCGTCGTATCTGGGAGAGGTAGGGAGAGGTACAGAGGTAGGAATATACTGTATTTGGAGGCAAATTTAAGCAGCAGTGATTTTAACCACCTCGTTATCTCATGTGAATGTGTATCGCAGAGTTTGTATTGTAATTCATGCATTCCACGGGACTCCCTCATACAATGGCTGTGCAAATAGGAATTAGGCCTACAGCAAAGCACCTTCTATCTGTTACAGCTAACAACCTATCTTACCAGCCCTAAAGTGCACAGCCAGGTATATCAGAGGTGATGTGGGAGGCTGATGTCTCTCCAGCTATGAATAGAAAGCATGACTGCAGTGTAATCAAGTCTTGTAGGCCTGCGTGTGTGTGGTAATGTGATAAAAAAAAAATAAAAAGGCATTGGGAGGGAAGCCCCGTATTCTCAAATAAGGATTCATTTTGTGTTATTGCTGTATTTTTTCTCATACTGGTATTCCCTCTTCGTGTACAGCAATTTGTTGTTTAAATGTTATGTTTTTATTTGGGGCAATTTAAATTAAAAAAAAACTATCATTTCAAGCTGCTATAGATCCACGTTAGCAGAACATTCTTTGTTTTATTAGAAACAAAACAGTTGGTTTGGTTGGTGGTGTTTACTTAAGAGTTTCATTGATTTCCATTCCACTCTCGGATGCTCTTTATAACAGCATTTGCAGCAACACCGCACCTTCACTCACATGTAGACGCCGCATTCTGTTTTGCATGCACAACACTGACAAGATTTATCCAAGATCCATGAATACCTTTCAACACACATCCACTGTCGTTCTCCTGCTCCTTAGCAGCGTTTTAAGTGCCACCATCCCGGCAATTGAATTTGACAAAATGCAGTCGCTCCCGCCAGCCGGCTCCCTGGCCTCCCCTCACATCCTGCCTCTCAAGCTGCTGTTTGCCCAGCCAAGCATGCAGACAGCCCAAACTCAGATGGAGGCAGATGCTATGGATGACTGATCACCAGGCAAGCAGAGGAAGGCAAAACAAAATGAGGCTCGGACTGTTGACAAGAAAAATACAATAACTCAACAGTGTCAGAAACCTATGCTATTTTAAAATGTGGTGTTAAAAGTTTTCCTCAAATCTTTCCTCATCCTAGATAGATAGATAGATAGATAGTTAATTATGTATTGCAAACAAGTTGAAAGAATCTTACAAATGATCTTACTTTAGCTGCAGAATTTAACTAAATAAATAAATACAACTTTCTGGTTATAAAAATAGAAAAAATGACTTGATAAAATGCAATAAAACAGAATATAGCAGATCCATATTGTTGTAAATCGGTTATTTTTGCAGCATCAAATTACAGGAACTTGCATGCAATGAAGAAAATGAACCAGAGTACGTCAACGCTGCTGTCAAGGGCAATATATAGCAATCAATTTTCTTATAAACTCTGACTGCAGACCAGTGGGTGCATGTATTAAGCCAAGAGCAAAATTGTATTTTCTTTGATTAACTATCCACTGCAGATCTAACTTGTGCCAATCATGGTGAAGCTAGATGAATCATCACATAACCAAGCCCAAGCATGGAGCCCAAAGATTATCAACCACAATCTCAACTTAATTTCCTGTTGAATCGGCGTATACATGCTGTTTGACGCTGATGTTTTCCTGTCCTTTTTTTCCCTACCTTTCATCTCTTGGCACTTCTATTAGTATGTTTCACCATTCTTCTAAAGTCTAGGACTTTGTCGTCCTTGGGGGAACCTTTCATACGAGAACACGGCTGTGGATGATGAATGTTTCAATCAATTAGCTTATTGCTCGGTACAAGTGGTAAAGCCCAGGGGGACTGTAGCCTGTGAAAGGCAGTGACACATAACCTGAATGATTACTCCAGCCGGCACGAAGAGGACTCCTGACTCTGCGCTGTTTCTTGTTGAGGGCTGCTGATTGAGAAGAGTGAGGACCACTGGTTAAAAACATTTATAAACTGGGAATGATATGAAAACATCAGGCTTTGACTGTACATAGTGTCATAATACCTGGATTTGAGTTTTAAATCTAAGAATTCCATACACAGATGTTGTGTTATATCAGAGACAGTAAACAGGGTTACCACCTGATTTCTATATTACCACCACTGCTCCGAGGTCTGAGGTTACAACTTCTCTGTGAGGCTGTAGGCATAGTAATCAATGTCAATCCTCCTCTTTCGGTCCACAGTTAAATATCTCAAGAACTATTTGATGGATTGCCAAAAAAATTGGTGCGCTGTCATTCATGATCCCCGGAGATTGAATCCTATTGACTTTGGTGATTCCCTGACCTTTGCTCTAGTCCACAATGAAGTTGACATGTGGGGTTTTGATTCAAATAACTCAACAGCCAGTGGATGTATTGCTATGAAATTAGATTCAGACATTTATGTTTGCTTCAAGATGGATTTTAAAACTTTGGTGATAAGCTGACTTTTATTTAGAGATATCTTCAGGTTATCATTTCAGTTTGTCTCATACTTAGGCTACCTGCAAAAATAATGACATTCCCTTGAGCCTGAAGCTCTGCTTTGTGTTAGCATGCTAAAACTGTAAACCAAGAAGTGCACATGGTGCACAATTAGGGTTGCCAACTGTCCCGTATTAGCTGGGATGTCCCTGGGATTAGGCCTAATTGATTTGTCCCATGCATGACCTCTCTTGTCCTGTTTATTGACTACTACGCTGATCCAACCACTAGCTGTAAATTCTTGGTCTTGTTAGTTCGTAAACCATTTAGCTAGCCAGTTTAGATTAACTGGAATTCAGTTCATGTAGTGGATGGCTAAATATTTTTTTTAATTCCAGTCCACATATTCACACCTTTTGGAAGTGACATTAAAGTACAAATTCATTATCCAGAATGCATTTGCTAAAATATTCTGTTTATAAAATGTTGGATTCAAACTCTGAAGTTGAAACTCACAACAACCCATATGGCAGCAAAGGACTGACTGTCCGCACCAAAATACCCACAAAATAGGTTTCAAACCACTGCGTCGCAGGGGGACATTTGATGGTGCTGGTGTTTTGTACACTCAACAGCAAGTGTGGTTTATTTTTTACCTCACTGTGGTGCTCTCTCTGTTGTTGAAAGGCTGAAGTGGATATTCTAGCTCTGTCTGTTGAATCACTGTTACATCTTGACCTTGGTTCACAAGGTTGTCCTGGCCCAGCCGGCTATCATCTCAATCACACGCTGATTTCTCCGCCGTGTACTTTGTGCTGCTGAATTAATAACGCCATCAGTGTTAAACAACTGCTGCTACCCTCCTGCTCTCACCTTCTGTTTCTCTCTCTCACACACATTTATGGAAACAGAAAAGTGCACGCAAACAAGCCTGTTATTAGTTTGACTTACATTCATTCCTTGGAGGCTGCCCAAACCATGACTACTACATCCCTAACTCCAACCCTAACCTAAGTGTAATTTCAACCTTAACCAAAAACCAAGTCAGTTGTCGCCTTGTGGGGACCAGCTGTTGATTGTTTTTGTAAAGATGTCAGATTCTTGTTTTAAGGCTTAACCCAAAAAGAAATAGTTATCCAGTTACAGGGACTAGCTTCTTGTCCCTGCAATGTCACTTTGTGGCCGTTTGAACAGATACATTTAGATTTATGCAATCAAATTTCTTGTTTCCACACTGTGCCTCTAGACAGATTTTTGTCCTTTGTACATTTTTAATTTGCACTAAAAACCCAGAGTGGAGTTAAATAGTCAATAAAAACAAATTTGACAAAGTGCAATGGCTTAGCAAATTTAACTTAGTTTAACTTAGACTTAGTGAATGAATCATTGCGTACATGCAGCATGTGACTTAAATGTCCTTTAAGCTTCTGCGC